CGGGATCTGAGCTGCATTGGGACCCAATCCCTCATCTCTGGTCCACCATCAGGCTCACCAATCGATCAGCACCCATACACCAGAGGCAATTAAGTAAGTTTCCCCTTTGGTCAGTGTTTGAGTCCTAGGAAGTGACCGTTGAGTGTCTGGCACCTCTCTAGTACTCTTGGAGGCAAAAGCACCCCAGCCATAGTCTTTAGGCTATGGCTGGTTCTCTTCATTTGATCCCATCCCCAATCTTTACAGCTGCAAGCCTGCAGCTTCTTTAGGCTCCACCAGGCTATTATGCCCCCTTCCTGCCCTTTTCTTCCTGCCTTTCCTTCAGAGCTGCCCGTAAATCCACAGCTCCTCTAGGCCCTCATGGCTTTTGTGACCTCTCCTTGAGTTTGGTTCTCATCCTTTCCTTCTAGCCTCTACCAAAGCCCTGGTACCAGGCACTGAGTGTCTCCTTGGGCTTAGCCAGGCTAAGTCCTTGACCCCTGTTGAGGGTAGTGATGACCCACTGAACAGCTTGTGTCTTCCTCTGGCCCTTCCTGAGTCACAATCTGCCATTTTCTATGGCCCAGGCACCCTAACCCACAACAGGAGCAGTTCAATTGAGGTAAACTGAGGTTGGTCCCATTTGGAAACTTGGAAAGAACACTGGAGTTTGTTGAGGTTTCACTGTGCTGAGAGTCCACCTGGGCATTACTTTAAAGCTTTCATCTTGGCCTTGGCTGGTGGTGAGCCTGGCAGACTGTCACTGAGGGCCCAGGAATGCCCGAGAAATCTTGTCCTATCTGTGTAGATCTGCAGTGAGTCTTTGACTTTGGTACCAGCGTCATGTAGTCATAAAATTCAGAAACTAGCGTCTTGTATCAGCCTTTTTCTTTTGGGCTGCTACTCAGCTCCCAAATCATGACACAGAAACTTCTTATTAGTTATGAATATTCAGTCTATCTCTTTGAACTTAAATTAACCTGTTTCTCTTTATCTCCATTTTTTTTTTTTTGGTTTTTTGATACAGGGTTTCTCGGTGTAGCTTTGGAGCCTGTCCTGGAACTAGCTGTTGTAGACCAAGCTGGTCTTGAACTCACAGAGAGCCACCTGCCTCTGCCTCCCAAGTGCTGGGATTAAAGGTGAGCAACACCACTGCCAGGCTCTTAAACTACCTTTTGTCTCAGGGCTTTTTACCTTTTTATCCCTTCTGTATATCTTACTTGTTTCTTTTGGTATATCTTGGTGAGACTCTCTCTATCTCAAGGGGATCAAGCTCAGGCTCCACTACCCTTTAGCACTCTAAATGTTTGCAAAAAGGAACTTCCAGGTGTTGTGTGACAAAGCTTTTCCTGAGATGGAGCACACATTCTAGATAGGGAACCCATGACAGACTAAAGTACAGCCACCACCCAAGTCCAGTTTGGTGAACCAATGAGTTTTATTGGGGTTGCTTTCAAGAGTAGAAATGACTCAGACAGTTGCATCACCAAGGGCCAGCATGGTAACACCTCACAAAAGCTGAGAACCTTGAGCACACTGCACAGCCTGCAGGCAGCTCAACAGGTTGGAGAGTGTCCTTTCCAGGTGCCTTAATTAGTCTAAACCTGTTCTAAACAGCTTGGCTAGTTTCTGTTTCTTTGAGGCAGCTGTTTTGACCTAAGCTGCCTTTGCATCTTTCCTCCTCTGAGAGTCTTCTTTGCAGCCCAGCTTCTTTTAGTAGGAGAGGGATTTTTCTCAGCTTTTGTTTACTCTGGCAGGGAGGGGGGGGGCTTGTGAATCTGGTCAGTTTCAGGGACTTCCTGAAACTATTTTGAGCTGTTTAGCTTCCTGCTTAAGGAGTTTCCCTGCAGGATGAAATTTTTCAGTATCAGAGGAAACTATTACACAACACTAGGGCTGTCAAAATGGCTCAGTCATGAAGAGCACTCGTTGTTCCTGGGAGGATCTGAGTTTGATTCCCAGCAACCACAAGTCAGTTCATAACCATCTGTAGCTCCAGTTCTAGGTGATCTAGTGCCTTCTTCTGGCCACCACAGGCACCATACACAACGGTACACATATATACATGTTGAACATCCATACATATTAAAAAAATAACCATACTTTTTAAAAAAGGGAACATCTAGTCATATTGTGTTGGAGGATATAGCAAAAATCAACTTTCTTACCGAAAAAGATTACAAGATGTGAATGAAGGGACTGGTATTACACCCCAAGACCAAGTTCTCAGCATAAAGGAGATTTATTTGTTCCAGAGGGACAAAGTGCAGGCAATAAGAGACAAAGACAAGAGACAGAGGATGAGGGACAAGGGGAAAGCAACAAGGGAGAGAAGGAATGGATATTTGTCCTGGAGGGACAAAGGACAGCCTCTGAATAGAGAGACAGATGTGAACCACAGGCAAGTAGCAGTTTATAAAGGTAAAAGGGGTAACCCTGTGTTAGGATGAGGTTTTTGTCTGACTGTTTTGCTTTGTTTGAATTGGGCATGTTAATTAGGGCAGCCAAAAGCAAGGTTTTGATTGCTGGACTTCATTACTGGATAATGAAGTTGGATCTTGGTAGTTAGCCTCAGGAGGAGGAAGTGGCCAAATCAGGGAGTAAAACTTGGTGGCTAGCTTCAGAATGTAATCTTCTAATGTTTTTTTTTTTTCTTAGCAAGGAAGGGGTAGTGGTCAGAGGGCAAGGCCATGCTTGCCATGCTCAGGTCAGCTAGAGCCCCTGCGATGAGAGATAAGCAGCGGGAGCCTACTTAAACGCCATGTGCTGCAAAGGTGCAGAAACTGCCTGTGTCTCCTTATCTTTGACCCCTTATTTCTAGTCCCTTCTGGGAGCTAGAATGTTGCTTACTACTAAGTCATTTAAAATGAAACTATTCCGCATACATTAATTCCGAGAGACCCCATTAGGTCTTTGTAAACAAATTCTTAGATTGCTTTGGTCAGACATCTACTCATCTCATCTAATGCTTTATACATTCTGTTGGCTTTTCGGATAAGATCTAGTTTCACATGTAACATAGTGCTTTGCTTTGTAAGAAGTTACGGAATATTTTGCTTTTGACCTTAATTTTTAAAGAAAACTTTTTTTTCCTCTGAAGGAGGTGCTCATAGACAAGAACACTTAAGAGTAATGACTGAGGGCCGGAGAGATGGCTCAGTCGTTAAAGGCTAGGCTCACAACCAAAAATATAAGAGTAGTGACCGAGTTAGTCTAGATTAGAAAGGTAGCATAGCACTAGCCAAAGCATACTCAATTTACAGAGTTCTCACGGTTCTTGTTGCCTGCTTGCCTCCTCTATGTGGGATAACTTAGGGAGCTCCCACAGTGACCTGCAGAGGTTCTTCATAGCCCCATCCCAGATTAAGGGAAGAATGGGAACACCCTGTTTATACAAGCAGGAGAAGGTTTGATGATGTCTGGAACAGGCTGTACAAACAGGTTGAGTGCCACTGTTATCTCCTAAGATCAAGCTGGTAAGACTGCTAAGGATACTAGGTCCCTTTGCTAAACTACTGGGGATGCTGTAGATTCTTTCCTTGAAAGAAAAGCATGCTGCTGTATTTTACTAAGGAAAGTATTTCAATGCATCAGCACTGCAATCCTTAGCTGGAGAGCTGGCTCACCAATTAAGAGCACTTGCAGAGATAAATGGTTTTGATTCCCAGCACCAACTTGGTGCCTCACAACTGTCTGCAATTCCAGCCCCAGGGGATCTGACACTGTCTTCTGACTTTCATGGGCACTAGGTAGGCATGTGGTACACATATACATGTAGGCAAAACACTCAAATACATATAACATAATGGATCTCAAACCAATTTTAAAAAGGCACTGCAGTGCCCCAAAGCTTTGCTGAGATTGTTGTTTTTAAATTACATTTTCTTTAGTTGTTTTGCGTGTGTGTTGGGGTGTGGGTGAGTATGAGCCACTGCCTATATGTTTGGAGGTCAGAAAATAACTTATGGGGTAGGTTCTCTTGACACCATGTGGATCCCAGGGCTCAAAGTTGGGTTTTAAGGCCTGGCATCAAGTGCCTCTACCCGGTGAGCCATCTCTCCCATCCCTTCCTTCTTCTGCTATTTTTAAGTGTGGAAACTTTTGAGGGTTGTTTGGTGCCAAGGCCAGTGGGTGACCTCAGTGTCACCCCTCAGAAATGAAGGGTGTGGATGACCAAAATATGCCATCTTAAAATACACTTCTAGTTGTGGGATGAGAAACTGCAGGCACAAGCATAAGCCAGAAAAGCACGCTGGAAAAGAAATGCACATGGGTTATCTACATTAGTAATCAGGCCTATTAGTACCTTTCATTCAATCCAGAGGTTGTCACCTGACCTTTGAGAGTATTTCCTGCAGACTTTTGGCACTATGGATCTCCTGCACTTTGGGACTCCCACAGTTCACAGAACACTTCCTTCCTTCATCAACCTCCAGGAGCCCTTGGGCCAGTGAATCGCTGTGTGGCATAGAAACTCAGTCATCTGGCTTTGACTGGCTTCGCGCCTCCAAATGCAGGCCACACACTAGAGTGGCTGGGTCCATACACACTATCTACTGCTGGTTTACTCCATGCCCAGCCCAGCCCAACCCGGCGATCCTCCCACCAGGCAGGATCCTTGTTCCTCTTATGGCTCAGTCAGACCAAACATAGTTCAGATGAAATGTCGACTATTTGTTTTAAACTTATTGCCATTTTCCTTCTTAAAGTTATACAGGCCCAACCTCGGGTGGTCGTGTTTGTACTTTTAAGTCATCACCTACCCCACACAGGGTGGCGCCCCTCACAAGTTCCCCCGTTTCTAAAGTGTTTTTGTAACATTCGTTTGACTGTGGACTTCGGTTTGCGATTATTTCCATCAGGTGGGGCAAGACGACTTCCTCAGGCCAACAAGCCGCAAAGATGGGCGGGCACTACGAGAAGGGCGGAAAGCCAGGAGCACCCACGGACGAGCCAACCCTTTGCTCGGCAGACCCCGCCCACATTCGGTGCAGGCTACGGCCGCCTCTTGGCCCGAAGTCCCGCCCTGGCTGCTCCGGTTGAGGCCGGCGGCTTGCCCGCGGGCTCACGAGTCCTTGGTAAACCAAGAGGCCATCTCGCTTTGCTCTCTGCGTGAAGCAACGCCCTCTATGACTGACGTGTCTCTGAACCTATAGAACGTAGCTATTTTCTGCCTCTGCACGGCCAGTGCCTAGCAATCCACGTGGAGCTGCGCCAATCGGAAGTGGTCCAGTGTCTGCACCGCCTCCCGGAGCTCGCTGTGCACGCCTTGGCTGCCTTAGCAGGACGCGCGTGCAGAAGAAGGGCGGTGGAGCCCTGCCATGCAGCTCCCAAAGGACGCCACCGGGCACAGCCCGCTGGCCTCAGTGGTAGGTATGGCGGGGTGAGACACGGCCCCGCCCCCTCGTCCCTTCTATAGCCTTTTCTCCCTCCGGACCGGTAATTATCCTTTTGGACTGGCAGCCTCTAGGGTCTTTCCGGAACGCTACCACTGGTTCAGGAACCTCAGCTTGGAGGGCTCCCACCCTTTTCCTGTTTCAGTGCGTGTGTACAGATGGCGTTCCTGCCCGAGCTCCTACCGTATACTAACCTACACACCCACTTGCCCAGCACACTGTTGCCACCATCCCCACTCTCTTAGCCCGTTCACCTCGCCAGCATGCCACCCTTGTCCAACGTACACAGCTGGTGAGTTAGATGTCAGGGGCCAGGACTCATTGTAGGCATGGTTCACAGGCTCAAGTGGATTGCATTTTTCATGCCAATCTTAATAAAATTGGGAACTGGTAAGTTAAGGCCTAACCTTGTCAAAAATTCGCGTTATATCCCCTTTTTGTTGCTAGGTCTCCTGTAGCTCTGGCTGGCCTGCAACACAAGCAGCTGAGAATGACCTTGAGATAACCCTCCAGCCACCACTTCCCACTTAACTGATAACAAATTTGAGCCACCACACCCTTCTTTAAATCTTGTGGGTTTTAGAAAACGAAAAATGTTCTTTTCCTTTAGAAGCTCAAATAAATAATAAATAAAAAGTATCTCGGCAATCATTTTCAGAACACAAACAGGATGAAATGCCATTTTTGGATCACCAGCTCCTTAAGAGCATTTCATTTGTAAAGAACTTGGTAAATTTTGTCTTCAATACTCATTTGTAAGCTATTTATAACTATGTTCACATTCAGTAATTTAAAAATGATTGTGTAGATGTTACCTATAGTGATCTATATAGATATTGTAGGTAGACCTTGGAGACTATGTAGTTATTGTCTGTGTCACATAATAGCTATGCAACATGTGCGTATATGTGTGTATATGTCCACACTTATGTAACCTATTGGTTTTCCATCCCAGAAACTTGTTCACTTTTGTTTTTGCACGTTAACACAAGGGTGACACCGACTGTTAATTTCTGTGGCTATTCTTTTCTGCTTACTGTGTTATATAAAATTGAGTCAGTTCCCGTGACAATTGTAGTTTTAGTGATTTTATTTCATACCACTTTAGAAACATTTGACTTTATGAGACTCCCCAAGAGAGTGCTGGTGCCTGAATTCAACTTTAGAACAAAGATACAGACCTCTACATACCCCTTGGTCCAGCTTGGCTGTGTGATTAGCTGTGCAGTAATATGAAGGGGCCACTCTGTTAGAGTTTTCCTAAGGGTGAGTTTGCCATCTAGTCAAGGGCTGGTTCTCATGAGGAGGAGATAGATGGTTTAATCAGAATAATGATGCATTTGCCCAGTGATCATGAATTTACTATGGAGCTGGGGGGGCATTTTGATACTTTTCAGCCACACACCCCCACCCCTGCTTCAGAAGCATCTAGAAGGGAATGTGGATAGATAAATAGATCAATGGGCAAAGGCACTTTCCATCAAGCTTGACAACCTGAATTCATTCTCCAGTGTCATGCGTGCATATTGATAATAGATGAATAAATGAAATAATTTTTTTAAAGCATCAAGAACTTGAGGGGACGAAACAACACAGAGAAACCCTGTCTCGTAAAAACCAAAAAAAAAAAAAAAAAAGAACTTGAGGGGAACCTAACACCTATTAAGTCTTATGGACCAGATGAATGTCAAGAGCTTTAGAGAGGAGAAATAAGGAGAAATAGATACCTTTGGTTTGTTGGGCATGCCCTAGCATGAGGCCTGGTTCTAGGCCTTCTGAAGGCCAGATCCTCATCTTTAGGGATAACTGCCTCATGGATGCTGAAGGGAGTGCAGTTCCTCATGACTGTTTGTTAACCCATTTCTCTGAATTCTAGTCTATTATCCTCCCAGTGCACAATGCTGAACAGTGGTTGGATGAGTGCTTGGCATCTGTTTTGCAGCAAGACTTTGAAGGCACCATGGAGCTCTCTGTCTTTAATGATGCCAGCAAGGTATTTATGGGCCAGCTGTTGGGTGACTTAATGCTTTACAAACCACATTTAAGGGATGTTGCCTGACGTGCAGTGTCACACTTACAGGACAAGTCTAGGACCATCATTGAAAAATGGAAAGTGAAACTGGAAGATTCTGGCATCTCTGTAGTCATTGGAGGCCATGACTCTCCTTCTCCCAGAGGAGGTAACATACTAAGTTATAATTATGGTTTCTTAGCAACCTATAAACATAAATGATTTCATATTGTTCCAGTCTGGAGAAAAGTATCCTGGTGAAGAAAAGCATTTTGGTAATCTTCAGGTCTGGTGATTAGGTTTGCAACCCTAATCACCAGACCTGAAGATTACCAAAATGCTTGTACACAAATATTTGTATGGGCACCATTGATAAGAATTTCCACAATACAGAAAAACCCTGTCTCGAAAAAAAAAACAACAAAAAAAAGAATTTCCAAGTGGAAAAATCTAAATGCCTATCTACTGATGAAATTGATAAATAGAATACTCTATCTGTACAACTGAATTATTCTCTAGTAAGGAATGAAGTATTGAATTGATATAACAGATGAATATTAATAAAACTGTGCTTAAGGACATAAGTCAGTACATAATCTGGTTGTACTGATATTAAATGTCCAGAACTGACAAATCTGTAGACATGAATGACATCTGTGATTGCCTTGAACCAGAGTAACCCATGATACATCCAAGATCAATGCACTACTTGACTTGGTATTTGGTGAAGGCTAATTCCTGGTTCACTGAAACTATTCAAGGCCTCTATCCCATTCTCATTCATGGGTCTCCACCTCCATACCTCCTAAAACCTACACCTGGATTAGGTTCCAACTATACCTACACATGGATTAGGATCCAACTACAAATTGGGAGTGGACATAAACATCAAGACAGCAATAAATCCTTACCAAAGAATGAGAAACTGGTTGGCTGGGAGGAGGCAGAGATAGGTTGATCTCTGTGGGTTCAAGGTCAGCCTGATCTACATACCGATTCCACACCAGCTAGGACTATACAGAGACACAGAAACTGAGGTCCACTTGGTTTAATGTGCCTGGTGTCCTGGAGGCCAGAAGAGGGTGTCAGATTCCTGGAGACTGGAATTATAGACAATGTGAGCTGCCACCTAGGTTCTGGGAATTAAACTTTGGTCCTCTGTAAGAGAAGAGCGGTCCGTGCTCACCACTGAGCCATCTCTCCAGTCACCTATAGCTTCCTTCCTTCCTTCCTTCCTTCCTTCCTTCCTTCCTTCCTTCCTTCCTTCCGTCCGTCCGTCCGTCCGTCCGTCCTTCCTTCCTTCCTTTCTTTCTTCCTTCTTTTGTTGTGTGTGTGATTTTTCAAGATACGGTTTCTTTGTGTAGCTGTGGCTGTCCTGGAACTCACTCTATAGACTTGGCTGGTCTTAAACTCAGAGATCTGCCTATCTTTGTCTCCCAAGTGCACCACCATGCCTGGCATCAACAGCTTTCTTAAGAGACTTTTTTTCTCCAGAGAATTGTCTTGACACTCTTGTCAAGAATCAGTTCACCACAGATACACACTGTGGACTCTGTTATACTTCTTCGGTCTCTGTGGCCATCCTTATGTCAGTACCATGTTTTTGGCTATTATAGCTTTTTTGTTATGTTTTCTGTCCATCTGTGTTGCATGTACAAGCAAATACTTAGCCTTTGGTGTACATTCTCAGCCAAATAAATAGTTTTCTTAATTTCCTATTGCTTTACTGCTTATTTTTCTTATTGTTGATACTGTAGATCTTACAGCTTTGCTTACTTTATTTATTAACACTAATAGTTTTTTTCTTTTTAAAGGTAGTGTTGTGTATTCACAGAGATAGAGGTAGTCTTCCTTTTGATTCAGTTTGTGTGTGTACAAGTGCGTGCATGTGTGTGTGCATTTGTGCCTTGTAGCCCAGACTAGTGGCCTAGAACTCACTATGTTGCCTAGGGTGGTCTTAAGCTCATGACCTTTCTGTTAAGTATCCTGGGTATTGTTCTTGTGTCACCATGCCTAGCTCCCTATTTGGACCTTTTCTTTTTCATGTTTAATTGTGCTGATTAAAATTTCTAATAAAGTGCTGAAGTAATAAAAGTAGACATCCCTATCTTTACCCTGACCTTAGGGGGAAAGCTTTCAGTCCTCCACTGTTGAGTATGACACTAGCTAAGGGGTTTACTAATGCCCTTTATCAAACTAAAGAAGTCCTCTTACATTGCTGGTTTATGAGTATTCTATTTCTAGTAACCAAAGGGGTGCATGGGATGGAGTTTGTCAAGTAATTTTTTTTGGCATCAATTTGAGAAACTGGATGTTTTTCCTTCATCATGTTAGATTATGTATTACACTGATATCCATTATTGAACCATTTTTGCATTATTTGGGTAAGTCCCACTCAGTCATGCTGTATAATCTTTCTAGTAGACTGTGTGTGTGTGTGTGTGTGTGTGTGTGTGTGTGTGTGTGTGTGTGTGTGTGTGTGTGGTGTATGTATGTCGATTTGTGCATGGAGGCTAGATGTCCAGTGTCATTCTCCACCTTACTTTTTGGCACAAGGTCTCTTATTAAACCTAGCATTCACTCACTGGGCAAGAGTAGTTGGCTAGCATTCTTCCTGTCTCTGCTTCCCCAGTGCTAAGATTATAGGCATATAATACCATATTTGGCTTTTTATATGGGTTCTGGAGATGCAAACAGTTCCTCATGTGTGTATGGCAAGCACCTACTAACCGAACCATTTCCCATCTCTTGTTAAAGGTTTTTTTAAATTAATTTTTTTTAGACAAGCTTTCACTATATAGTTCTGGCTGGCCTGGAACTTGCTGTGTTGATCAAGCTGGCCTAGAACTCACAGAGATCCACATGCCTCTGCTTCCTAATTTCTGGAATTAAAGGTATGAGCTACTACACTCAGCTTTTTTTTTTTTAATGATGTATACAGTGTTCTGTCTGTATATCTGCCTACACCTACAGGCCAGAAGAAGGCACCAGATCTCATTATGGATGGTTGTAAGCCACCATGTGGTTGCTGGAAATTGAACTGAGGACCTCTGGAAGAGCAGCCAGTGCTATTAACCACTGCGCCATCTCTCCAGCCCCTACACTCAGCTTTTATTAAGTATGTGTGTTCATAAGGGATGTTGCTGTATGGTCTCCAGTTCTTACACTACTTTTGGTGGCTTTGATGTTGGGAACTCTGCCCTGTAGGACAGCTTACAAAACTGTAAATATAGGACTATGTTGACACTCCTGTTTGGTAGAATTCATTGGTGAATCCATTAATTAGATCCTGGACCTATTTCTTTGCTTTATTCTTGAGTTGATCTCTTGCTCCTGAGTCACTTTTTAGTTTGTTTCTTGGTGAATACAAAGTCCCATTTTCCCCAGCAATGAGGCAGCTGTTTCTCAAGAGCTGAGTTGTTTTCCAGATGCCCTGGGATGGCTTTGGGCCTCATGCTGTTCTTGGTCATCAGCATCACAGCCTTCCCTTGAAGAAACACACACGACCCCACTTTATCTGCCCCACTATGAAGCATTTTTAATGATCGTCCAGAAGTTAGGTGATCTTAAGGAAGCAGTTGGACTTGGAGGTTGCCTAGTCTTTCCTGGTTATTATGGCATTAGAGATTGGCATGGAAAGTTAAAAATTTATGTCACTCTAAAATTTTAGTCAGGTACTGCATTTGGCTTTTACCTGGGCTTGGGGATTAAAAAAAAGTAAATAGCAAAAGTAGAACACATGTGCGATGGTTAATCCTGGTTATCAGTTTACTAGATTTGTAATCAACTAAAAAACACACTGCTGTGCAGTCCCTCGAGGGGGCTTCTTGATCAGGTTATTTGAAGTAAGAAGACTAAATGTGGGTAGCACCGTCATACTACATTAAGAAGCTTTACTTTTTGCCTGTATCCTTAACACACTGGCAAGTTTACCTATCTGTTGGCTGTTGAACCCGCTACTGCCATCCTTCTCTCAGATCAAAATCTAGCTGCTTTGAGATTCCAGTGTGAACTGAAGACTCACACCCTCTAGGAATCCTCAAGGCCTTCAGCACCAGATTGGACTACTGAGATACCCAGTTTCATAGACAACAGGATTCTCAGCCTTTCCAGTATGAGACAGTGTTGTTGTACAGGACTATTGCCTGAGCCAAACTACTGCCTTTGTCAGGGGTTGTGCTCACAAAAGATTCTGCTCACAAAAGATCACCACAGCTGTGCCTCATAGAAGGAGAGGTGGGGAAGGTCTTAGAACCTTCAGTTGAGTATTGAGTTTCCCCTGCCAACTACCTGTATGCAATTTTGCCCTAATTACATGGGGTCTTGGAGGAAGGGTTAGAGGATATAGGTGTAAAAAGACCAGAAGAGGGGCCTCTATCTGCGCAACCCTAGAGAAGCTGTCATTCCTGCTGAGTGCAGACCTTTCCAGTGTGGCCACTTTAAGGCCAGTGCCTTGCCTGTAACCTCTCACCCATGTCTCTGTAAGTATGTTTAATAAACTCATCAGTTCCCCAGGTGAACTTTTATGAAATCATACCTCAGTTTGTTGTTGGGTAGATATTGTTTGTCTCCTACAGGGAAGGAATTTTAGTAACAGCCATTAATAGACTACCCAGACATAAAGTCAATCCAATATATTCTCATTCAATATATATTTATTCTATTGGTTCTGCTTTCCCCTTGAACTCTGAACACCCTGTAAGTGACAAGCCATTTCCTTCTTGTAACTATGTAGAGTTTATTCGTATCTTTTTGGCATTTTTTCTACATTGTGATTTATTTGTTTTAGAGTTTATTTGGCTTCCTAAATGTTCATTACTGTTTGTTTGAATGTATCTGGGCAGTTTCCTGCCATTATCCTTCCATGATTTTTTTCTGCTTATTTCTTTCCAACACTTGCAGCATATATACCACGAATATACATTGAGTGCTTTTTTTGGGGGGGGGTTCGAGGCAGAGTTTCTCTGTGACTTTGGAGGCTGTCCTGGAAGTAGCTCTTGTAGACCAGGCTGGTCTCCAACTCACAGAGATCAGTCTGCCTCTGTCTCCCAAGTGCTGGGATTAAAGGTGTGTGCCACCAACTCATTGTGTGCTTAATGGTGTTTTTTTGTTCTGTTTTGTTTTTTTGTTTTCTCTTGTTCTTCAAGTAGCAAAATCTTTTTTTTTTTT